GAGGGAGAGAGAGAGTTTTGTGATAATTAAGCTCCCATTAAATATGTTTTTGCCATAATTAAAAACAATTAGTTTTTGCTCAATAATCTCGTATATTTGTAAATAAATATGATAATTTTAGTTAATTTACAAATAAATATATATGAATTGTAAATATGTAATAAAAATGTTGTTGTGTAGTGGAGGAGGTAAATTCTTCTATTTTAGTAGTCTTTTCAAAGTTTTATGGTAGCACTGTCAAAACGGGCCATGGCCCGCGGGCTGACTCGTCCGTCCGCCTAAATGGATGGGCTTGGGCCTTTGCTTGGCCAGCCCGTTCAATCGCGGGCCTATTTGGCCCGCCCCGTTCGGCCCGCGGTCCACCATGTTTTTTTATTATTTATTAATTTGTTAATTTTATATTATTTAAATTTAGTATTTCTTATTATTTAGTATTATTTGTCTTTATCGTCTTTTTTTTTCTTCTTCTTCTTCTTTTTTTCATATTTATTTATTTTATATTTTTTAAAATTTGACAATGATAATAAGATTTGTGAATGTACATGACACACTTTTTTACATTATAAAAATATTAATGAATCAAATAATATTTTATGTGAATTAAGTCTCTCCTCCACGTGAATACCCTATAACTATTCATAAAAAAATAAAAATAAAAACTGGATGACAAATATTTAACATCATTATACATGAAGCCTTACTAATTTATTAATATACTAGTAAATATAAGGATAAACAAACCAAAAAGTATATAAGAGTACATAATACCAAAAAATTCGCAGGCGGGCTGATTTGGCCCGCGGGCTAATGAGGGCGGGCCATGGGCCATGGATTTCCTAGCCCGTAGAAATGCGGGCCATTTTGGCACGTCCCATTTGAACTGCGAGCCGGAGCGTCCCGTTTGACACTGCTGTTTTATAGTTACCATAATCATTGTCACTACAGAACATTAGAATACAAAATATATTGAGTATATAATTTTTTTACAATAAGATAAATATAAAATCAATATCATAACATTATTTTAACATCACCACCTATATTGTAGATATATTGATCATAAATTAATTTGTATAATGAAACTATATTCTGCTACAATCATCATCCTTATCGGCAAAAATTGTAGATAATCCTGGCGACTCCATTCTACAGTCTGCGGATTTCAATTAACGATCGATCTACACACAATCCAAAACCCAAAAAATCGAACCAAACATCGATTTTCCTGCAACCAACCAACCATCTCCCCCCAACAATGGCGACGCCGCAACCCTCGATGAGGACGCCGACGGAAATTGAAGACGCTACAATCTACCTGTTGTTCATAAAGTGTGATGAGAGAGAATTTGCCGCGGTTGGGCACGAAAGGCGCTGGGGGATTTTACACACTTGCCCTATGGGGGTCAGCGGCGGGGATGGGTTGTTGGGAGGAGGCAGAGCGGCGAAGGGGCAATGGGGAAGGAGAACAACGGAGAATTTGTAGAAGAAGAAGATGATGATGGGAGAGATAGGGGAAGAGAAGAAGAAGAATTCATATATATATATATATATCTCTACAATACATATAAGGCAACAATGGAGAGCTATTTTGGTGCTGACACGTGGCAATTATGGACGAAAATGTCCTTTCTTTTGTTCATTATTTACAGTTTTGCCATTGACTTTATGTATTGAAGATTATATCATTCGTGACTTTTTTGTCTGTCACTTTTCCCATTTCCCGCACAAGTTACCTCACTGACAATCCTCAGAACCAGACACTATTTCGACGTACCATCGAATCGCCCTCATCTTCTCAAATCTTTCGTCGACCACCCGAGCACCCAAAAAGGAGCTCTATTTCCGCCGAGGCGAGCTACCAGTGCAGACGGACGTGCCAGCAGGCACGGCTAAATTATTCGACCCGACGGAAACGAGATCTGGCGATTTCGCCTGCATTCCGACTGTTCTCTCCCTCATCTCGCCCATTTATCACCGCCGTGTGGTGACATCTTGATTTATTGTTAATTAAATGGGTCCTCATTTTCCGGTCTTCAGTTCGAGGTCGTCACTTCCCTCAATTCATGTTGGCTGAGTGACTGAAGAAGACATTTCCTTCCCTCATTTCCGATTAGCTTTTGTACAGGGATATTGAGCTTTATGTGCCATTAATTTTATGCTCCTCTTTACCCTTCTCTCTGCGAGTTCTCTGTGAGGGACACAATTTTTTGCCCAAAAACTGACCACAAATAATTATTGCTTTTCTTATCAAAAAGTCGGCTTCGCCGCAACAGAGGGAGTTATCGATGTTCCGCCCCGCGACGTTCAACCAGACGGATTTTTGGGCTGTGGGTGATGGGTGGACCTCCAACACGGCGGCGTTCGAGACGGTCGTGAGGACGATCTCGAAGCTCGGGAAGAGGAGCAGCGACAGGCAACTGCGGGGGATGGTCACCCTCCTGGTGGCTGCCCGCCGGCCAAGGTAAGTTCACAAATTTCATCACCTCCGATTACCTTTTCGTCACTCAACATTCCAATCTTATATTGATTTTATCAGTGATTTTCTGTTGTTTATTTAATTTTGTTCGTTATTATTTGGAGGCGGATTAAGTTATTGTCCTGAAGATCCATTTTTGATGCTTTTGAGCTAATCTTGCTTGGGGAAAAATTGTTTGAGAAACTTAGGTCAAGTCTTTTAGGAACTTCTCGGTACGCTATTGATGACCTCCTGTCGGGTACAGTAGAAGATAGTGGCTATGCTCCAAAAAGCTAACGGCGTAGGTCACCAGCAATGGTTCTGGTGCAATGGTAAAAAAAGGATTTCTTGAAAATTTTCTCTTAATTATAGGAGTTATTATTTGTGACAATCCATAGCAGATCCTGACAAGTCCAGGTGTAAATATGAGCATTAACACGTAAAAATCAATCAGACTTGGTTTAAAATGTTAATTCATCTGCTAAGAAGGCAATCCATACAATTTTATGATTATTAATTTCAGTCCTGATGCACGTATTCCTATTTTCAATTATTGATTTATATCATGCTATAAAATGTCTTCAACTTCTCCTGTTTTTT